GTATTGCCACTCTCACCACTGGTCCTGAAGGGATCATCTGTCCTGGATTCCCTGTGTTTCCAGTTCCTATCTGAACCATGTACATCCTCTGGTCCAGCCAGATTTGTAAGGTAGAATTAGGATCATGATAGTGGGGAGTGGGGTGAGGAGGAAGCATTTAGGAACTAGAGGAAAGTTGTATGTTTCATGGTTGCTACACTGCACCCTGACTGGTTCGTCTCCTCCCTGTGACCAGTTGCCTATAGATGGGTCTTGGGTCCCCAATCTGCACAACCCCTCATTCACAATGATTTGATTTTTTGGTTCTTTGATGCCTGATACCTGATCCCTTCGACACCTCGTGATCACACAGGCTGGTATTCTTCTTCCATGTGGGCTTTGTTGCTTCTGAGATCGATGACCGCTTGTTTACCTTCAAGTCTTTAAGACCCCAGGCTCCATCAGCTTTCTTCACCACATTTGCTTAAGCACCTGCTTTGTCTTCATCGATAGTGTCTGGAAGGTGAGCATAATGGAATTCCAGTTTACTAGAACAAAGTATTCTTGCATTGAGGGAGTACTTGAGTGGAGGCCTGTCAATCTTTACGAGAATAAAAAGCCTCATCTTTCTTCCACAGAGCAGCTGATGAGTTTGAACTGCTGACCTTGCGGTTAGTAGCCCAACACATGACTCAACATGCCACCAGTCCTTCTTCCAGGGCTCCTCACAAAATACCAAACCCCCTATCAGTGTGGCAATGCTCTTGGAAATAAAGTCAGGTGTTAACTGCTGTGTTAGACAGGGTTCTCTATAAAAACAAAACTAGGACACTTAAGATTTATATATATGGATAGATATGTACAGCACAAAGGAATATAACAGCTAATTAGTCCACACAGCAGGACAGAGGGCTCAGTTCAACTCACTTCTGTGAAACTGTTAATATACTGGAAATCCTTCAACTCACAAGGGTTGCTGGGTCCAAGGTCAAGGAAGCAGACAGCTGAGTCTTCCATAGAGTAATGCAGGTAGTCTGGCCACAGGCAGCTAACAGCAGGGCGGGCACCAACAGTCAGCCAGATGACAGGATCTGACAGTCCCCAAAGGAGGTCTCGAAGGAACCTCAAGATCTAGTGACACGGTCCACGGGTTGGGTGTCCCACAGGTAGTGTAGCTTGCAAGTTGAGGCAGAGAACTAGCTAAGGCAGCCACACACTTCCGATCATTAGAGAGCAAGAGACAGAAATTAATCCCACATGTGTTTATTGGACAGGTTGGCACAATAAACCTACCTATCGCAACTGCAAACTATTTCTATGATTTCCACCTCTCACTCCCAACTCAATTGAGAGAATGGAACAAATATTTCTGCATCATGGTAAATTTTTTTCAGATGCAAGAATCGTGCACTCAAATCTATCTATCTCACCACTACCAAGCTACATAATTTTGGACCAGAACTAAGTAAGTCAGAGTCCATTAACGGCTTTCCCCTCGAATCTATTCTCCATATTACAGTCAGGCTGGTATCTTTAAATCATTAAAAATAATTCAAGGAAAATTCCCTTCCTTTAACATTGTACACTGACTTCCAGAGCTCTTAAGGCAGTCCAGAATTCTAAAGAAGCTACAAGTCTGGCCCCCTCCCCAGTAGCACCTGGACTACTCTCAACTTCTCCAGCCACAAGGACTCATCATTCTTTTAATACACCATCCTCTCTCCTGCCACAGGGCCTTTGCACAAGCTGTCCTCTTTGTCTAGATCCCTTCCTCTATCCCCTTCCAGTCAGTTAACACACACTCATGCTTCAAATTCCATCTGAGGCATCATATCCTCAGACAAGCTTTCTCTATGACGCTCCTGCCAGGTCTAACAGCAGCAGTTCCACTCATTAGTTTGTGTCTAGTCTCCAGAGAGGGACTGGAAGACACAGAAGGGCTAGGGGGACGCATAGCCTACTCTCTAATCTTCCTGAACTTTGCAATCACATGAATGTGTTATCTTTCAAACACAAACACAGTTTTTTATAGGTGAAATAAAAATGAAGCATCCACTAAGCTGTATCCCTCATAGAGCAAGGCGCCTTCAGGGCCATGCTTGGTATGGTGATCCAATCTGTACCCCTCAGTGGCACATGGATCACAGGTAGGAGAGCTTGCTCACTATGGCATCCGGCCCCAGCACTGAGCCTGACAGGGATAACCCGCCGCTGGTTGGTGAACGCTGCTGCACAGATTTTGTGAAAAATCTTCCGTAGAGGAGCTACTATTGGTGTTGGCTGAGACGGAAGACAGTGAATGTCTCAATAAAGATATTTTTAACAGCGATTCTTCAACTTGTGTGATCCAGGCACTCTTTCTCTCCACCTTTGAAAATTCTTGACCTCCTTTCCAGAAAATAGCACACCCACCCAAAGTCTGAACATACAAGGCCCCTCGGTGTGTGTTGGGGAGGGGGGGGAAGAGTGGGGCTTTCTGAATGTCTGGCAAGTGATCCAATGCTGGGAGGCCCCTGGGGGCCCCTGGGGATGTCTCCTTTCCACGTGGCTGGGCACAGGAAGGCTTGGGCCTCACGCTGACTGGCTCTGCCTAGCCCTCGGGATCCCTTGAGACTCTGCTGTGGCTCATGAGGCCACCTGCCCATCCTGACCAGGCTCTATGAGAGACGGGGGCCCCACCCAACACCCAGTTCTGCTGAGGTCGCCTGCTGACCCTTCTCCCTTACCTGCTCTGGCTGGCCTCTCTCGCCACTGGGGTGGTTAGGGTTTGGCCTGGCTTCAAGGAGCGGAGTGAGTACCTGGCCTCTTCCAGCGAATAAAGCTTTCCCTCTGGAAGAAGACCAGGGAGACCAGCTGACCAGGGGAACTTTTACATTTTCTTTTTAATCCTGAGACCTGAAAACGAAGCCCCACCTTTTCCTCTTTGCTTGTGTCTCTTGCACAACTTCTGAGATGATAGGTGAGTAACGTGAGGGGTGGCTGCTCCCTTTTACCAAGGTTTACCCTTGGGATTTGAGAACAGTTTTAATGATGAAAATGAAGAGGCCTGGCAGTTACACAGACACACACAATAATCAAGACCCTCCCTTCTCCCAGGAAAGTGGAGAAAGCAGGTTCAGGGTACCCTTGTCTGTCCCATGCTCCTCAAAACTAATGGGGCTGTCATTTCATGGCCTGTGTCCTCCCACCTGTGCCCTGTGGGATTCTCTCCAGAGCCAGGCTCATGGCCCTCACACTCCAGCTAACTCTGGGTTCTCCCAGATAGCCCTAAAGCAACAGGCTCCGTCAGGCCCAGAAGGAGGAGGGCGGGACTACAATCCTGGGTGCGGGCGCCCACACCTGGAGCCCTCTGCCTGCTTGTCCTGCTTTCCCCATAGAAGCTCTCAAACTTGTTTGGTCTCAGCACCCCTTTGCAGTCTTACAAGATGAGGACCCCAATTTTATGTGATGCGTACCTATTGGCATTTATTGTATGTCACATTAGCAATGAAAATTGGGGGATTAAAATGCCTTTATTAATCCAATTTAAAGTGATGGCAGTTAAATCTTGTAGTAACACAAATAAAAGCTTTCTAAGCAAAACAGCAATTTTGATCAATAAACAGGACTAAATGAGAATGGAGTGCCTTTTTCACAGTTGTGTGCATCTCTTTAAGGTTTGGCCTTAACTGGAAACAGGAGCCCTGGTGGCATAGTGGGATTACACTTTGGGCTGCTAACCACAAAGTCAGTGGTTCGAAACCACCAGCCACTTCGCAGGAGAAAGATGGGGCTTTCTACTCCATAAAGAGCTACAGTCTCGGAAACCCACAGGGAAAGGTCCACCCTGTCCTAGAGAGTGGCTAGGAGTGGGAATTCACTTGATGGCGGCAAGTCTGATTTTGGTAACAGGAGACAGCTGGCCTCGTGCTTGCTTCTGAATCCAGTCTGCTGCAGGGTTGCAAGTCATGTAGCCTCTAGAAAGCCCCACTGGACTCGTGAGAAGATCGGAGGGAGATGGGGAAAATGACGTCTTAGCATTGTGCCTATTGGTTTTGCAAATCCAGTTTTTGTTCTGATAAGATACATAACACCAAGTTTGCCATTGTAATCATTTTCAAAGTGTACTGTGTGACTCAGTGGCATCATTTACACTCACCCTATTCAGCTCCCGTCACCCTGTCCGTGAAAATAGTCAGGCGGTGCGACTCCCCCACAGGTAGGGTCTCAGGGAGCCTCAGGCAGCGATGGCTGGTAAACGCTCTAACCACCCACCCTGCTGGGAAAAGTCCTGTTCCTATTACATATGTTGCTTTCTGTGGTTAGAGACTTGCACCAGGGCTGAGTTTCAAGCTGCCATATGAAAGGTCATTCAACTCAAGAGCTGGCAAGAGATGAGTGAAACTGGTGAGCTGATGGGAGCTGGCTCCCAGCTGCCCGGGGTACCCACTCAGAAGTGCTGGTCCACTCGCTTGCTGGCTGGGCCCGGGGCTTGTCTGTCTTTGACCCAGCAGGTCCAGCACATGTCCCTACTGCGTCTCAGAGGCCTAAGGACCAAATGCCTCACCCTTCCCCTCCCACTAGTGTGTTTCTCAGCCCTGCTCTGTTCTCCGCTCTGCCCACGCCACCTGCCCCCCACACCACCCTCTAATCTGTCGCCATCTCCCTCAGTACTTCCATTCTGATAGGGGATGATCTTAAGGTCTCTGTGCTGGGGGTGGGTGGGGGTGATGGTTCCTGTACAGAAAAGAGCTGTGATGTCACCCGGGGGGAGGGCCTGTCTCCCTCCACCGAGGCCTCCTCAGGCCGGGTCCTGCCTCTGAAAACAGAATCAATGCACTGTGCTGGCTGACATGGGGCACCCCAGGGAAGAGAGCACCGCAAAGGCCATCATGTGTCTTTATCTCACAATTACATCACTCCAACTCATTCAACGCTCCCAGCTGGCACTGCCAGCTACTTGGTGAGGATGAGTCAGGGCTCGTTTTATTAAAATCTTCCCCCTCTTACATAACAGGAGCTCTGTTCTTGCAAATAAGCCACGAGATCCTCAGAACGGGGCTCCCCAGATGGCTCACACCCTTCTGCAGCAAGCAGTGTGCCATGGTGGCAGCCCACGCGAGGTGCTAAGTGCATGCCTCCTGCTGAGGAATGACCAACCAAACCAAGATGGACATGGGACCCCGACACCCACCCCCTGCGCTCCCTAAAGGCTTGTCTGGAGTTCTAAACCATGCATTTCACTGAGTATCATTCTAAAGGAAAATTCCAGGTCCCCTGATTTAAATGCTTCCTGTACATGTTTCCGCTGATGCAGTCCCAGAAAGTGTATCCAAAACAGCCCAACATTCAAAAGCAGACTGAAGTTAGCTTCCAAGTTGTCTTAGGGTTAGCAAAGAAACATCT